CCTCCATCCGTCCCCTCCCTGCTCCATCCCTGCCCCATTCCTGCCCCATCCCTGTCCCTCCCTGTCCCCAACCCTGTCCCCTATCCCTGTCCCCTCGCTGCTCCGTTCCCGCCTGGTCCTGCCCCATCCCTGTGCTCATCCTTGCCTCATCCCTACCCCATCCCCGTGCCAATCCCTTCCCCTCTCCCTGCCCCATCCCGTTCCATGCCAGGCCAAGCCGTGCCAGTCCCTGCATCCCTGGCAGCACCACCCCTTTCCCGCTGCCGCCGTGCCCATGCACGTGCCCATCCCAGCTCTGCACCGGTGCTTTACACCGTCCCCCCTGCCCAAGCACCCTGGGGTGCCCACAGGGCCCCGGGACACACGGTGCCRGGGACACGGCACCCACTGCACCTATGGGTGCCCCCCGGCGCTGGGCCCACTAGGAGACATGAGAAACTGCTGGAAAAGGCACTTTATTTTAAATTAACGGGGGAGAAATAAATAGGAAGGTGGAATGACAATAAAAACGGCGATAACAAAAAACGGCGATGATAAAAAAACCAGCAGCAATAAAAATGGCGATAAGAAAAAGAGCCATAATAAAAATGGAAATAACGAAAATGGCAATAATAACAATAACGTTAATAATAGTAATCACAAGAATAATGATGTCAATAGTAATAGTTGCAATAATAATAGTCAATGAAAATAATGGCAATGCCAATAGCAATAACGCCGATAACAAGAGTAATGTCAATAATAATAATGCCAGTAACAATAATGGCAATGCCAATAGCAGTGCCAATAACAATAATGCCAATAACAATAATGTCAATAACAATAATGTCAATAATAATAATAATAATAATAATAATAATAATAATAATAATAACAGCAATAACAATAACGGCGACGGATGGCAACAATGGCAATGACAATAATGGCAATGACAGTAACATGCCAATAACAATAATGCCAATGCCAATGCCAATACTGCCGATAACGATGCCAATAACAATAACGTCAATGCCAATAACAATAATGCAATAATGTCAATGCCAATAGTGCCAATGGCGATGGCAATACCATTAGTGCCAATAATGGTGCCAATAACAATGATGTCAATGCCAATGCCAATACCAATAGTGCCAGTAACG